TTTTTTTTTTTTTTTTTTTTTTTTTTTCATTTTGAATTTGTATGTGACTATTCCTTTTTATTTTGTAAAAGATATTCATAACTTCTGGACTTCTTAGCCTGTTGTAAAGCCTCTCTTGCCCCTTCTTCCTCTCTCGCTCTCTTTTTCAGGGAAGGGTGCAAATGCAAATGGCTCGTCACAGGCCGAAGAATCTATATTTGTTATATTGTCCTGAAATGGATACATTTTGTATATTTGATACAGTTGCCCTCTCGTCGAGCGAAGTCATAATAATTTTACATTTCTCTGACAAGAAAGTCTGACAGTGCTCTATTAAAACGGAAACATTGCGTTCTATCTATACAAATCCTCAAACGATGGAATACAACAATGCGATTTCTCGTCTTCAGCGTTTTTTGAAAATAATCCGTTATTAAAATTGTGAGTACGTGGCGAGGACAGGAAATTACGTAAAATGAAATACACTATTGAGCAACAAACATTTAGAACAGGAACATTCACTTCATATTCTCAAATAAAAGATATTTTCTTCTCATTCTTCTTCTTCGCTTGGGACTGAATTCTGTGAAATAAAATCAAAGTGAATTTGAACTTGAGCCTAAGAATAATGTTTTCCAATTTTCCCATCCCACGTGTCATTTGCTTGAGAATAAGTTGTATCCATCTATGTGTCTTCTCATGCGCAATCAATGAAAAACAGAAATGATACTCTTACTTCTTAATGAAACTTTGTCTTAAATGGAAAACCTTACGCCCAAAGTATAAGAGTCTCTACCTCTGTACTTTGATTTTAACGGTTCTTATTTTTTTATTTAACTATTTTGGTCCATTTTCGGTGATAGTGTGCCGAGACAAGTAACCTGATAAAGGAAGTTCGTAGTCTATAAGGTAAGTGTTAATCATAGACCCTTATCTTTTAGATATACTTTCAAATCTATGCTTTGCTATTGTCAGTATAAAGAGTAGCTTACTCTTTTAATATACACTTGTCCCAGCCTTTTCAATGAAACATAAGATAATTGCAATACTTGAATCTGATGCAACTCTTATACTTACGAGTCCTCTGTATCTAATGAGGAAGCCTGCTTTACTCGTACTACCATCCGATACAAAGTTTATTATGGCTTTGTTACCCCTGACCAGCACTTCGTAAGGGTAACGATATGTACCACAATGACGAGGTCCTACTTGGTTTAACATCTTATCCTTGATTATAATGTAGTCGTATCTGAAACGAAATAAGTGCACATCACATTCAATAATGATACCTGATTGGTTATACTACTGTGTTTGCGCAAATCACATTCAATAGTGGTACGTGATTGGCTGTCGTCCTGGATGTTTGCGCATGTCACATCCAAAGGTGATATTTGATTGGCTTTTGTCCTTGGTGTTTGCGCATGTCACATTCAAAGGTGATATTTGATTGGCTTTTGTCCTTGGTGTTTGCGCATGTCACATTCAAAGGTGATANCTTTTGTCCTTGGTGTTTGCGCATGTCACATTCAAAGGTGATATTTGATTGGCTTTTGTCCTTGGTGTTTGCGCATGTCACATTCAAAGGTGATACGTGATTGGCTGTCGTCCTGGATGTTTGCGCATGTCACATCCAAAGGTGATAATTGATTGGTCGTAGTCCTCTTTAGCTGCGCATGTCACATCCAAAGGTGATGCGTGATTGGCTGTCGTCCTTGGTGTTTGAGCACATTATATTTTAAAGTGATGAGTGATTATTTATGCCCCTTTTTTATTTGCGCATGTTACATTCAATAGTGATACATTCAAAACAAATGTTTGCGCATAATCAATAATCTTACTTCAAAATGTGCCAATAGTTCTGCTTCAAAGCAATTGAGATCCCGACTTTTTTATTTGTACTTACATGCAGTTTCGATCCTCCTCCAGACGCAACTTTTCTATTGTAATTTTGATCGCTTTGTACGAATCAGAAAGTTGGATGATCCAATTATATTTAGTCCCCTGGGGGTAGGGGTTAGGATAATTGGGTGACGTAATTACTCCTTGAACCGTCATTAGCATTGTTTTAGTTTCTGTAATTTAAATGCGAAAAATAATAAAGTTGTTTTAATAACATTTAAAAAATCCAGTTATTTCTAAATTGAAGTGTTTGAAATACTTACTTTTTGGATGAGATACTATTGTAGTTGACATGGCTGTTGCATTGATGCCTAGAGAAAAAAATTAATCCAAAATTATCTTAAAAATGAGTATATCAGCTATCATGAAAAGTAATTGCTCTATGTTTTATTTATTTATTTATTTATTTATTTRTTTGTTTGTTTGTTTGTTTGTTTRTTTATTTATTTATTTATCTTTAAGTTTTAGCATAGCGCATTGAGATAATAGAATACGCTTTATAAGCACTAATTTATTATTGTTGTCATATTAATTGAGGTTCCATTACCTTTTGGCCTTGCTGTTGTTTCGGGAGCTTCTAAAAAGAGAATAGAGTGAATCATTCTATACATTCGTAATGCATTGACAGGACAGTGGCGTACCAGAACGAGTCGTTCCAGTATATAACATGCTCTTTCGATCTTACATTTATCTTTATTCTTATTTTTAAAATTTTTAAACGCCAAAAGGCCTAGCCAATTCACCAAACCACACATCAATGTTTGTATGTTGTAATTTTATATGTAAGCGTGAAAGCCAGCAATTTTGGTTAAGTTGTAATCATTATATAAAAATTTAGGAGGTATTGCTAGTTACGAATAGAGGCGTCAGTACAGTACCAAATATAAAACCAAATAAACACTTACTCGGCAGAGGAGGACTGGGGACCTCCTTGGTTGGTTGTTGTGTTTTCGGTGAAGCGATATCTGTTAAAAACAGGAAAATGACCTTTAAGCCCCGTTTACACTGTCGATTTTTGCGGCGATTTTTGCTACGATTTTTGTGGCAATTGTCGAAAATATAAAATCTTTTGTCTCATCCTTGGTATCCTGAATAAAACTTTACAAGTAAATTCTTTACCATTATTTATTATAGACAGAATCGCCGAAAATTTCGCAGCAAAAATCGCCGCAAAACTCGCTAGCGTAAACGGGGCTTAACGAGAGATCATATCGAATGAGGCTAAGTTAAAACATCTGTTATGTTCATGGACACAAATTCAGTCAATTCATTTTCTGCTCAAATTAAGAAGTAACAAAGCAATGCTGAAAGGCTAACATCGCTGTTAGGGGACTGACCCTTTATACATTGGTACTGTCGTCTTTTCGCAAACGTGTCCTTAAAAAAAACACGAATATATTCATAAAACCAAATGAACACTTACTTGGCGGAGGAGGACTGGGAACCTTCTTAGTGGGCTGTGTTGTTAGTCTAGTCGTTGGTGAAACGATATCTGTCGAAACTAGGAAAAGAAGCAAGAAGTAGATGATCAAGATTAGGTAACAAATATGTCAGTCAGTCAGTCAGTCAGTCAGTCAGTCAGTCAGTCAGTCAAAAAAAATCTTAAAACGGGCTAAATTCAAAAAGTAACCACGCAGAGCGAAAGAAGTGTTCTTTATCAATGATCGGCTAAAATTTCGAGGCTTTATTTAACGTTTCAATGATTTTATYGACTTTTTTGATGAATCCCCATACATATCCTTATATCATGACACCACAGAAAAAAAGCTTGGGCTACCTGTGGTCAGTCAGTCAGTCAGTCAGTGAACAATGCAACTTCATAATTAACCTTTCTTTAGAATAACTGCATTAACAAACTCAGTTATTTTGATAGAAAATAATTACTCACCCGTCTTACTGTTACTTGAAACTCCAATACACAGTACATCGTTTCCAAATTCCGGAAAGTTCGAACAGTTAAGCTTCTCTGGCCAAGTAAAACCATATCTGTTCATCAAAGGTTCACATCCCTTTTTTGATTGTTCGCACATTGAGCGACATGGAGGGATCGGCGTTTCCATGACAGTACATATCGGTGCGTACAAAGAACACAAAAACATGCGAAAATCTTTATGGCATCCGATCTGTATGAGAGGAAAGAACTGGTAAACCTCCTGAGAAGCTTCTGCTTGGGTCCGATGTTTCAACATGTTGGGGTACAGTGTGTGGTTGTATTGAAGTCCTTGACACAATTGTATTGTTAACTTTTGGCAACCCGGTCCTTTTGGAATTCCTGGAGTACAAAACATCATAAAGACCTTCATCATTGGTAATAATAACTTTAATTAAGAAGGTTTAAAAAGTACTTATAAAATACACCAGGTTTAGCAAATAGCTAATCTTACCCTGGGCCTTCAAATATTTATAATAAATAATAATAATATGTCTTTATCATTTCATTTGATAAAATACATAACAAATGTTACAAATATCAAAAATATAGACGCTAGAATATATATATATATAGTAAATATATATAAGGTATTTTGTACGATATCTGATAAGTGCTTATCTGCCGCTTAGAGACTGGGAAAATAATTTGAATAGAATGAAATAGGTTTTATGATAACGAACGGTTGGCAAAAACACCAGAGTTTTAAATATTTTTAAATCGAAAAAAAGGAATAAATAAAAAGTAGGTAGAATGTTTAGGTCACCCATCCATGTACTAACTTCGCTCAACCGGACTTGACTCAGTATCATGGAAGCGCAAGTTTTTTCCACTGGACCATGGTTCGAAGTGAATCAGCATAACAATAGCCGTGAAAACAATGCGCCGGATAGACTAGACTTTTTAACATAAACTTTTCAACCGATTCCGTGCGTGGCAGAGATGCAAGGGATTAGCCGATATGGTCTGGGGGCAGGCTGGTCTCTCCCCTGATGCTTCTGCTAGAACATTTTCTTGCGTAATTCGTACACCCAAGGGCAGAAGGATTTAATCGCCGTCAGGTCCGAAGTCCATACGACGCCTCAGCTCTGCGGATGTCTCGGGGGTATGGCAAAGTGGAGTCGATTTTTTGTTTTTTGTTTAATTTAAAAACAAATATTTATTTATTTTTGGTGGGTCGTTGGTTCAAATCCTAGGAGCGTCGATTGATCGTTTTTCCTTTTTTTAGTTTTATTTTTCCAAAATATATATATCACTGAGCCGAAGATAATATGAAACGCATGAAAACGGTTTAAAATATATCTTATCAAGAGATCTTACTCCAGATTTGGTTCCTTAATATTTTCTTTCAATATTGATGTGTTTTGTTTGTTTGTTTTTTTGTTGTTCAGCGCTGTCCAGTCCCGTGCAAAAAAAAGAGGGAAATTTGAAGGATAAAGTTTTGTCCTTATTTTATAACACACCTTCAGTGGCTCGTGTCGACTTCGSGCGGATCGAGGGTCTCTTTACTTTCGGTGGTGGGGTATTTGGTTTCTCCGCTGATAATCTGGAACATCTCTTCTTTGGAAACTTGCTGCAATGCAGAGGAGAGGGCCATCTTATCTTCAATTTTCTCAAAACTCGTCGACAGGATTTCTTGACAGAATTGCATATTACTCTACAAAAAAATAGCAATGTTATTTTCTTTTTTGAGTTCAATTATGTCTTTTTATTTTGAATTCGTATTGTCATCCATGCATCCATGAATCCATGCATGCATCCATGCATCCA